GTGTTGGCCAGGTTGACCTCATGGACCAAGGTATTAATCTGATTGACCTCATGGTCATTGTATTAGCCAGATTGACCTCATTGGCTAGGGTATTAATCTGGTTGACCTCATGGACCATTGTATTAGCCAGGTCGACATCATGGACCATAGTATTAGACAGGTTGACCTCATGGGCTAAGGTATTAATCTGGTTGACCTCATGGACCATGGTATTGGCCTGGTTGATCTCGTGGACCATGGTATTAGCCATATTCTGGCGAAAATCATATATAGTATGACGCAAATCATATACAGTATGCTCTTTAATTAACGTGACAAACTGAAATCGGCCTAGCAAAACAAATTCACATAAGCACAATAGGATCATAACAAATCTTATTAATAAACGCACAACTCCAAGTTGACATATAGTTTTTATTATTTGGAATAGATTCAAAGCATCAACAACAGCAAAACAAAATTATTTTTTTATAATGTTTGAGAAAAATATATAGTTTTCTTTGGACAAAGAACATTATTCCATCTCGAAAGAAAATCACTGGCCTAAAATAAATGATCGGTCCCTTAGTAACTATTTGTATATCCATCGGAGCTTTGGATTTAGATTTAATACATTTCAAGCTCAGTAAAAAAAGAATAAGCAAAAAGGCATGATGGCAAATCAATGAATGAAAGTCTTATATACAAAAATTTGTGAACAAATATTTTATGATGAATCCAGATTTACATAAATAATATGGAGTAATATGTATTACAGACATATTCAAAAACCAGCGTGAACTTTGACCTGCAGCAGTATGGAAGGTCAAGTCAAAGTTTGTTTTGCTTACGGTTACTGCAAGTTGTGAACTCGTTTACAGGGGACATTATTCATTGCGGTTTTTCAGTTCTACGATATGCTGGACAAGTTTGACACAGACACCGCTATTTATCTTCAGCTTTGATGTCCGCTTTGTACAAAAATGGATGTCCTTTATGTGTCATTGTTATAATGATCAATTTTGCGCCCTAGTAAACTTGTCAAAGAAATTTCGATATCCTCGTGATAAATATGGGAACAAGAGAGATTATGATGCAGCAACTAGACAGTGACAAATCTTTACAGACCTAAATGATTTTCACTTTTCCGCCTTAGAGGGAGTGGTCAGCACAATAAATGCGTTTTCCATTGAATAACTTATGAAGTTATTGCTTTACAAATATGCATTTCCGTGAGTTCAGACGCTAACTGTACTGAAAGACATTTTTCATGTAGAAAAGGTTCCGTTTACTTTTTTAACAATTCTTTTGACAAGATAGTGAATATCTGTTTTTAAAACTGGGCGTCTATGTATGATATTTCTCCCTATGCATTCAAGCATATTTTATTATTTTTCTTTTAATCTATTCATGATGAAAACATCACAATAATATTGCAAATATCGCGTAAAGATTATAATTTATTTTAAAGACCTCGAACTTAAAATGATTTTAATAATATCCATAATTGGCTATCTAAAAAACATCTGAACTGGGCACAATTCTTCATTGAATATTTATAGTATGAGCATAAAAAGATATGACGAAAAAAAAAAGACGACAACAGCAATAAAAATGACCTTTATGCATTGAAAACGCGTGGTGTTAATTCACAAAAGGTTGCGAAAGTTAAGAAGGTTGGTGCACCTAATTTTATGCGAAGCATGCATATGCTAGTGTGGTTGCTATGCCAGACACGCCAGAGGAAATATTGTTAAGGATGTTTTTCGTAGTTTGTTTTAATTCATCCCAGAGATGAGACATTCAGTGAAAATTCTCGCCGTTTCAGACTTTTTGTATCTTCTGTTATTTTATTGCTTCATTTTAGATTGTATACATCATTTGCTGTTATTGTTGGTTCTTCTTCTTCTTCTTCTTCTTCTTCTTCTTCTTCTTCTTCTTCTTCTTCTTCTTCTTCTTCTTCTTCTTCTTCTTCTTCTTCTTATTATTATTATTATATAACTCATGAAACAGCTATTTTTCGCCAAGGTCGACCTGAAAACTAGCATTAGATACCGTCCGAGATTACTGACTTTTCAGGATGACGTCACCTAATAAGGTTAAAATTATTACGACAGTTACGATAAATTTAGATGTTGATGTCGAATGTAACTAGATGGATAGAAACAATGCAAGCAACAACAGCATCATACATAATTGACTTTAATTATTATTTTAATTATCTTTTTAGCGTTTGTACTTAACTTACGATCAGTACAGCAAATTGTTTGAGTTTTTTTTTTTTTTTTGCATCTCGTCTCATTTTTGATAGTGGTGGGACATCAACTTTCTCGACCTACAGCTCTCACGAGAACCTATGTCCTTCCGCTATCAAACTCGACGCGATACAAACACCCATATAAAGTTACTGTAGTGATAGCCTGTATTTATCTTTCATTTGGGAGATAACACGTGTAATTTGCGAGCATTTCTAGATACACATACCTGGAAGACAAATGAGGATTCTTATACTCAAATAAAGAGCATTTATGAAAAACAATGTTGTGTCTTATAACAATTTCCTTTTAGCTGTACCAATGTGATCAGGCCCGACCCTAGGGCAACGCCTTGAGCCCCGCCCTTTTCCGCAATGCAAAATTGTTGCTTAGGGCCCTGAGCTCTTTGGTTGCTGATTTTGGCTCCGCACATCCTAGGACCAGGTTTGAATGTGATTAAATGAACTGACTGGAGGATCAGATTTCCATCGTTTGTTTTGCATTAATAATCAGTATTAAATGAGATACTGCTGTGTCATTGTCTCTTAGTAGATTTAAAATGGGCACTGTCTGCATTTTTCATTTGTATGCAAGTGTTGCTAATGAACTTTATTACTCCGTGATATCTTGCAAGCTAAAGGCGTGAAGAATATATATTAATTGCTCAGAACCATGAGGTAGTGAGTTTCAGATCTATTATTTGCAAGCCATGGGCTTAAGTGCTTGAGATGAATCTAACGCAACATGTACAATAAATCAAACCGACAAATATGGAGTGCTTTTCAAAACCAAATGTGTGGTTTATTTTTGTGTTTTGTTAGGTCTCCAAAATAATGGTTTTTGCCTTGGGTCATGTCTCAATATTTTCAAAGACAAAGTAATATCTGGAATCTAAGATGTCGAGAAACAAGACACGCAAATAATGTTCCAATTTTACTGACCTGCCGTAACTTTCGTACCTCGTTGCTCTGGTTATTTTGAAGTGCAATAAATACTTGACTATTAGGTAGGTAATTTGGCGTTAAGTTGTACACCAAAGAGGTAGTAAACTACGCCAGAGACATCAAGCTTAATTTAATAAACAATCTGACCGTATATCGTATAAAGTGAACTATCTTTTTAATGTCGAAGAATCTAAGATGATTTTCTTTTAAACATTTTAGCTTATGATAAATTGTTGTCTATTGATCTAGTACTACTTTTTTTAGTTGCAGGAAATATATCTGTCATAAATAATCATAAATAAATTTGCCCACCCTGTTAGAGTGAATGTATTAGGCGCCAGTCAAAATATTTTGAAAAGACTCCAAAACAGTTTTTCCAGAAAGGGTTTATTGAAATTTTTTTTACATGAATCAGAATCATTCAAAATGTCTATTGAATGAACATACACTTTGCTTGTATTCTACAATTAGTGTCAGCTTCGATATAATACATTGTAAGTTATAGAACAAATGCTACAATAATAAGTTTAAACTATTGAACGCATTGCTAAAACTTTGTTTAATTAGCCATTTTAATTCCCACACAATAAAAATCTTGTGCTCGTAAACAGTTTGCGAATCGAAATAAAGCGACTATTAAAATTTGGGTGAAGCGTTTTGTCCTTTTTTCTGAACCACATAATTCGTTTAAATACAGAAATATGATAAATACGAAAACGATAACAAGTAAATATACATCATCAAAAGCCTTTGTTAAAGACAATACGATCTGTCAGAACGGACAGTTTAAACAGCCTACACCACTGTAATGGTGCAACTATATTGTAGATTCTTTCGCAACACAGTTTGTCGTGGTCAGCGTGGCAAACAATTCAGAGACACATTATGCCATTTGGGAGTAAATGGCATAAAATGAAATAAAAAGATGTTTATTAACATAGACGGAATAAAGAGAATTGTTCTAGCTTCGATGCTTGTCTTAAAACTGACGGTTAGAGAAAGTTAATCCTGACTGGCTATGCTAAACGTGTGTGTGTGTTGTGTGTGTGTTTGTGTGTGTGTGTGTGTGTGTGTGTGTGTGTTAGTGTGTGTGAAGTTGAGAACCGACCAACGCCTTAGTCTGTCGAGTTATAAGAAGACGATATCTGGCATAACAAGAATGGGAATATTGTTCGACGCGGAAAAATAAAAACCTGACAAATATTTAGGCTGCGTTTTATTTATTTGAAGGAAATTGATCGCTCCTTGTATGTGTTTCACAGTAGGAAGGAATGCAGACAACAACCAAACTACAACTGATGACTCGAAGAGGTTGAGAGAGAGAGAGAGAGAGAGAGAGAGAGAGAGAGAGAGAGAGAGAGAGAGAGAGAGAGAGAGAGAGAGAGAGAGAGAGAGAGAGAGAGAGAGAGAGAGAGAGAGAGAGAGAGAGAGAGAGTATCATTCAAATGTCATGTCCAGTTTCGTTTTGCTTATGCAATCACCATAACAAGTGGGGGATCACATACCCCCTTACAACCCCGTTCACAGTATCAGTATGCGAAAGAAATGGGTTTAACATCGCTGCACTTTTTCATACAATAGTAATTAATTGGACAAAAAAAACCCCACATTTGCTATTGAAATTCTTGTCAAAATGTAGTCCTTATTTATTTTTTTAAATTCTAAACAATTTTTTTTAAAACGCTAGATTTCGACTTACTCGTTTATGGTAGTAATCGCATTCGCGCAGACAGAATGACAGAATGGGAAAAATTATTCCAAGTCAACATTTTCTTGTTACAAATCTACTATTAACAGAAAATCGACATTTTTAATACATGTAGACCGCTCCGGTGGCCTAAATGGTTATAACGCTCGCCTCGGATGCGAAAGGTCGCGTGTTCGAACCCCGACCGAGTTATACCAAAGACTGATAGCAATGGTATTAACAGCTGCCTCCCTTGAAGAGGTTAGTACTGATCGGTCTGGTTTCAGGATAATGTGATTGTGGTTTGTGAAGCTACAAATCTGCGACATAATGACCCAGTGCTACACATCACCATCAACTGCCTTATTGCAGATATTGTAGCGATATGACTGAAAAAATTGTTACAGCTACGTTAAAATTACAAACAACACATACGCATACACACGCATATACACATTTTAATAGATGTAAGTAAATATTTAACTCGCAAATTGGAAACCTCTCCTTTTATCATTCGTGAAGTTTTTCATTATACCTGTTGAAGAAACGCTCTCTATTTCTAACCACTATTTTATATTGGTTTTACAAACTTAAGGGCCTAAAATGCAAGTACTACACATTTTACTATAAAATTTTAATTATATAATTTGATCGGATAAATTTTTCATGGGAATGATTCTTATGTTTATCCGAGAATACTAGTAGCATGAAACTTTTTGCAATTACTAAAAATCACCCGTGTATATCTAAACTTTTCACAAAACATTTTATAACCATAAGAGCAGTTCGTGCAAAAAATAATTACTGTGAAATCAGAGAGAGAGAGAAGGCAGAAATGAAGCGATACAAAATTCTGTGGAATGTTTTGCGAGGGCACCCCCCCTTCTCTGTTGCATTTCAACTTTACCTGTATGTTTGGTGTCAAGTTGAAGAGAATATGCGCGTTAGTAAGAGGACACCTTTAAAAAAAACCAAACAGAGCCAAATTGACTTAAACCAAAGATGGTAGCATATTTAAACAATTTGACCTTTAAGATTGTATTTAACTAAAATAAATGAAATCGCTAGATAAACCTGCTTGATTACGGATATATTTTGTATTTGCTTCATGTATTTTTCTTAAATATAATTCTATAAATATTGGTAAAATGTGTCTATCGATTGTAGAACTTTTGTCAAATATCACTAAATTAAATTATGCTTTCCCGTTTTTAAAAACATTTTGTAACATATTTTCATCTGCGCATATGCATGCAAAAATATTCAGGTGCCCTGTTTTCGTTACAATGGGTAAACATTGCTTTCTTTACAGTGACGTCACAGACAATACACTTTCGAGTCTAACAGCTATGTTCCTTTTTATCTTCTTTAAATCCTCTTAAGTAGTTCCTGATTTAAACATTTGAAACAAAAAGAGATGTTTTAACATCGGTATATTGTACTAAAATGTTTCTGAGTTGTAAATTCAGAAACCCGTCAAAAGAAAACATCACGGCATACTGTATTTGGGAAATATTAACATATCTTCATATAGAAAAGATGCAGAGCTAATGTGAAATCTCCAACTACTTGTTATTCTGTGTCAAGCAGTAAAGTGGGAGAGCTTTCTTCAAGATTCCACCAATAGCTAATAAACAGATAATGTCAGAGGGAACATCCTTGACAATCACCACTGACCGTTCTTTTCATACAATGGCATATTGTTAAGTGGTTTTCACTGTTTACAAGGAAATCTTCAGTTCGTTCCCTGAATGTAATTTGCCACTTCATTGTAAACCGTGTGAAATGTCGAGTAACAGAATCTGTCACTTTCAGACAATAATCTACTGTCTGTTTTCGATTATTTCACTCATGTAAAGGATTTCAGATATCCATTACGTGGTGATTTAGCACGCGTACTTAAAAAAATTACCCCCTTTTCAAAGAGCCGCTTCTCTTTTGAAACCGTCTGAAAACTTCATTACGAAAAGTAATCACTACCTAGGAGTTTGAAAAACCACATAAAGTTTTAATTTTGTTTCGTGATTGAACCCCTAAAGCTACTTAATGGAAAGAAGACATGCGTTTGGCCGTTGTAAGTGCAAAATGTTATGGTAACAATGAGCAATAATTTTACTGTATACGAACTCTAAATGTCAAATTAAGGCAGTTGAAAGCAGTGTCAGATAAAAAAAATGCTAGCGGTACGAAGATATATTAAATAACAAACGAAATCCTAAGATTTATTTGATTCTGAAGTTGGACTAACATTTGAGTGGAAATTATTACCGACAGAAAGAATGCTTAATTGATCAGAATACAAGAATGTCAATTAACATAATGGTTTGTTTGATTTTTAAAATTGCAATGCATTCGAAATACACATTTCGCCACGTAGATTAGACTTAAATTCAGTTCACTTAACCATGCTTTGCAGGGATTCAAGATAAACCATTTATATATTTAACTGCAGATTGTTGAAACCGTTTCTATATTGGTCAGCCATAACAAGATTTTCAAATTTGCTGTGGTGGACATATCGGAAGCCAGTTTGTCATTATTTTCATCATGAACAAGAAGGGATCAAAAGAATTCTTCCAGTGGAAACAACATGTTAATGTAATTTTCCGTTTTGGAGAAGCAGCGATAACAAGATTCCAATATGGATGCCTTGATGTCAGACTGGCACAATTACTATTTAGTACTCATGATGCTATTTTCTATATCAGACTGGCACAATTTCTATTTAGTACCATTGATGCTATTTTCGATTTCAGAGTGGCAACTTAATACGACCACCCAGAATAGCACCATTTTTATTTATGACCAACTTGGCATTGTAGGTCTTTCAGTCAGTGAAAACTATCCTGATATAACCATTACTTCAGTAGAAATAGTCACAAAAAGATTTTCAAGATGGCTAATGTGGTAGGCATATCGAATTTCTTCATGGAACCACTAAGACCAGCTAAATATGATAGGAAGCTGCTTAGCAAAAATCCCATGCTGAAACGACCATCCGTTCAGAAATAATGTCAAAAATATTTCAAGATGGCCGCCGTTGTGGCCTTATTGGACATCAAATATGCACAATTTTCAATTTGGATTAAGTCTACATTGTAAGAAGTATTCTGGTGAAAACCTCTTGCAATATTATTTTACATTCAATGATAATATTTTCAAGGTTATTGTCACTCACTGTGGTAGAATTTTCGGCACCGTTTCCAGTAAGGATCAGTTAGAACTCATTACAAGTCTTATGGTGGAAACCACATGGCTACATTAGGCTTCATTTATGAGAAGTAGCGGTAACAATATTTTCCAGACTGCCACTTTGGAAGCCATACTCGACATCCTATCAACCCCATTTTCATTTAAAAATAAGCAGACGTCATAAGAAGTCGTCTTGATATGAACATCCATTATGGATAAGTAGCCATAACAAGATTTTGAAGATGGCCCATCTGGGAGCTAAATTGACCATCAGGTTAGTATTGTTATGAGGGAAAATTTAAGTACAAATGAGAACATGAGAAATCCATCTAAATTGAATTAAAATTAACTCCTCTTTGGACTCATTTTCATTAAACTATGTTGGGGATAATTTTCATTAATATATATATATATATATATATATATATATATATATATATATATATATATATAGATAAATATATATATATATATATATATATATATATATATATATATATATATATATATGTATATATATATATATATATATATATATATATATATATATATATATATATATATATATATATATATATATATATATTATCTTGATAAAGATTGTTTTCTTACAACTAGAGCAGGTCTCATTATTATATGTGTAAATTTACTTAACAAATAATCTTTACAAACAGGTAAAAATCTGCCTCTATAACTAGTACAAGTTTGCCGCATCAAACATTTATAAACTCACTACGCTTACACTCAGTGGCAAAAATTCTTGACATATACTCCAACTTAGTATCTTTGGCTTTGGAGGTTATCGAAGGGAAGAAATAAAAACGCAAAACATAAGTAGTTCCATGGGGATAAAACCGGTTCTAGCTAGTTGAAATAACCATGAAGTCCGAGCGTGTTGCTAGCTTCCCACTTCGAAAAATTAAGACGTTACCATAACATGTTAGGAGGTGTCTTGATCTAGTATAAATAAGCCCCCAAAAGAAGCTAGCATTCAGCTTGACTTCCCGCTTCAACTAGTTGAGAACTCTTGTATTTATTACAGGTAAGACTTTTTATGTTCTAAAAATTCTTAGAGAATTAGTACTTTTGGAAGTCAAAGGTTTCTGTTCTAACGTTCCTTACTGCAATGTTCTTATGGGTTCTCTTTTTATTATAATATTATAATTCAGTGTATCCCAAAGGAGTGTAAAACTGAGGGTAAAAAAAAAACCTTGGTGTCAAAACTGAGGGTCAAATAAAAAATCTGGGGGTCAAAAATGTACCGACAAATTTTCATCTAATACATACTTTTTCAGCTGGAATAGGATATTGCAATTTGCACAATACTCTCTCTCTCTCTTTACAAATAAACCAATAGGCACAATTAACACAAATGCATTTTCCATTCAAAGGATTATTTTATTAGTTAATTTTCTTTTTAGTTTAAATTCGTATTTTTAACAGTCACTTTATAATGTCTGTAGCAATATTATAGACCAACACATTACATATAAGCCATTACAAAACTCCATATATATCTTTTTTTTAACAAAACGACAGTTAATTTACTGTCTGTCATAAAATGTGTACTATCATCGGCTTCATTGTACATCGTCCTAAAACACATTTATCCAAAACTCAGAGGGTAATAATTCATCTTCTCTTTAATAAGTTACACTTAAACTTTTAATCTTTCTTTCGTTGCAGCAAAGTTAGCAAAATCTGCAACAACCCCTTGAATTTGTCATCCAAATAATGAATTTGTCTCTGCAATTACTTATTTCTTTGTTCTGAAAGAATGTTTTAGGTAATAATGTGTTCAAAATATATATTGTGTTGATCAAGGGCAGATTTTAAAAATGCTCAAACGATGTCACGAAAGGATTATTCACTTGTGTAGCCTTCGCAATCACGAAGTCACACCGGTAATCCCAATGCCTTGGATGTGCCATATTCTAGTCAAGGGAATATTTTATTCGTTTTTCATTAGAGTCAGATCCACATTTACTCTTTTGTGTTCTGCTTCCTTCACTTTCTTCGCT